AAGTATCGGTGATCAAGTGGCCAAGGTGCAAGATCAACAATCACAGGTGTCCAGATTCGAATCTCGGTCGCATACAAAGTTTTTACTTTTGTTTTTTTTTAATATTTATTTATGATTTTAGTTTTATAAAAAAAAGAAAATTGTACATTAGACCAAAAACTCCGAGCGAAGCTCGGTAGTCCAGGTAACTATATTTTTAAATGTACAATTTATTGTTATTGAATAGACATTTTATGATTACATCGTATTTGTCATAAACGACAAAAAATAAAAATGTACTTTGATATCATGCCAACTGTTTTATGAGAAATTAAAATCGCAAATTAAACCTTGTGCCTTATTCATTAGTTTCGACGAGAACACATTGACAGAATATACATTCGGTATGTACCTATCTATCTATACATACTTATAATAAAATTGTCACTAAGCCGAATCTGTACATTAAATATTTTTTGGAAAATCTTATTGAAATAAACATTATTATGGATACATAGGCCGAATCTATAGTTTTTAGAATTATTGTCTGTCTGTCTGTTACCGCATCATAGAAAAACCACTGGAGCATTCGGTGAAGAACTTTCAGAGATTAGCGGATTTGCTCAAACGAATATTTAGATTTTTATTTGTATATTTGATATATATTTTTTGTTTCTGCCAAATGACAATTTGACGATTAAATAAATACACTGACCACATGACCGCTGAAGTTAATAAACCTTTTTTGGTCGATAAAAATAGTCTATAGAAATCTCAATTTTTACATATCTCTATCAATTCTTAACATATGAGTTCACTTGACTCTTGACTCTATAGCATGTAGTACCTATTTATATAACAATCTATAATTCGGGCTGACATAATGATTAAAAAATGGCTATACAATTATGTATATTTATCTCAATTTAGTGTATGTCAAAGGATTTTGCTTTTGTTTCACAAAATACACTAATTTACTGAAGCCGTTATGTGTCGTGCTATTATTATTCTAGGATTTATATTATTCTTAAGGACGCAGAAAATAAGCTTCAATATAAAAGTGCGTCACTCAAGCCCACGTCGCATTTGGCTGTGACGTGCCCCGCATACAAGGGACGATTATATCTTTGTAGTAACGGATTTAGAATTACAATTGCAATTGTTTCGCGAACTTCGTAATTGCATCGGTTGGATTTTTCCTTGAAAATGCTGTTATGACTTGGGCAAATAAGAAATAGTAAATAAAATATATAATACCAGCTATCACTATTCCAAATTTCATCAAAATCCGTTCAGTGGTTTTTTAAAGACAGACAAAAAATCTTAGAGCTTCGGCCTCTGATTATTTTAATAAGATTTTCCTAAAACATATTTAATGTACAGACTCGGCTCAGTTAGAATTTTATTATATGTAGTTATAGATAATTTCGATTCGGTATAACAGTAAGCAAAGGTAGAATTTGTTTTTATTTTTAAAAGATAACGCATTTTTAATATTACTTGTTATACACTTATACATTTTATTAAATTAAAAATATCAAGCTAGGTAGGTACTTTACAATAAAATGAACAACAATTTATTAGACGAAACTCAAATGTCTATTTTTATCTGTATTTCAAGCTATTGATGGCATTCAAGACATTGAATGATTGATTCGAGTCATTCAATTTTAATCCTATACTTTTTCACAAAAAGAAACTTTGGTCTTAGACTGAATACATATAAATGATTGCATTTGAAACTAACTTTTACAAATTTAAATACATGTTTGGTTAAATTTCCATCGTAAACGTTTCCTGCCAGTGAAAATTCCTGTAAACAAAAGCAAAGAAGCTTAAAGTAATGATCTATTTCAGTATGTAGATCAACAAGTCAGTTAACTCGAGTCTTCCGTTAACCCGGAGTAAGACTGGAATTCTCCACACAAAATCCAGCCGTAACCTACATCAATGCCCAATTAACAAACAGAACTGCGTACATCTCAGGGCCGGATTCCGACTTGTGGGAGCCCGAGCAATTAAGGAGTGGAGGACTCTAATAATTATTAGAACACTCCTTTGGTCTTCACTCTCTTTTAGTTGGATTTAAATGTATGTATGTACATTAATTTATGTATGCTAATATTATAAACAGGGTGAAGTTTGTGAGTTTGTGAGTTTGTGACGTTGTAGGGGTAATCTCTGGATCTACTGAACCGATTTAGATGAAATTTGGTAAGAAGATGGTTTGAGACCCTGGGAAGGACATAGAATACTTTTTATCCCGGATATCATCCCTTAAGGGGGTGAAAATGGGGATGAAAATTTGTATGGGGAATCAACCTAGGGACGAACTCGAGCGAAGCAAGGGTGAGTCGCTAGTTAGTAATAAAGAATTAATTTCACATAAATAAACTTATTTTTGTCCTTGACATTTATACTGTGGGGGCCCAATGCATGTGGGAGCCCCGGGCTAAAATATTAGAATCCGACTCTGGTATATCCGCTTGATACGTATCCAAATTTTTACTACTCGACGTAACAGTTGAATAGTAATAAAATAACTTGCTTCATCGTATTATGAAATAAGTTGTCTGTTACGACTAGGAAAATTTCACGCCCAAAATATATTATTATTAGCTCTCATATCAATATGAATAAGCAGTGAATATGACTTCAATATAAAATATGTTTTTTATTATTTCTTTATTTTAACTAATATCAATATTTTTTGTAGCCTTCTGTTGATAATAAATAAGAATAAATATTTAAATTAATTGTATGTCACTTTAAAGTCTTGCATTTAATAGTATCTTTTAGCAACGAACATGTTTTACCAATAACTATATTTTTATTTACTTTTATCTGCTGTTAAAAAAGCTTTTGCAACGCTTATCAAAAATTTTCGGAATTTCAAACCAGTAAGTCACAAAATATATATCACCGTGGATGGAAGACCAGTTTAAAGTGAGTCAGAACAAAAGCACGCGATCGGTCTTCAATGAACGGCCAGTTTTAGAATGCACGAAATCCTAATTGCGATGCGCCGGCGCAGGTAATTTCTTACTCCCACATTCTGAATAATTACTACAAGAATAATTCACATGACATTGGCATGAGTATACATTTATTTTATTTTATATCGCACCTTAAATAGAACTTTATGAGTACTGCCAAGGCGAAACAGTATTGTACTCCAGTTGTATTATTGTTGGAAATGATTTGTATGATAAAGCTTCTTATGACTTGGTGTTCTTAATAAAAGCTGTTTTTAGTGGCGTATAGTCATTTTTTATTGTAGCATTTTATTATATGTAAGGTTTATTTTTGTTTAGTGTAGGATATAAAAAAAGAAACAGTCAAGACTGCCAATTAGTTGTGTTTGACATTGTCCTTTAACTTTGTAAAGGTAGGATCATACTGGTGAGTAAAAAAAAAACATCAATAAGTAAATTAAAAATAAAATATATTATATATGTCAGTAGGTAGATACAATTTAGGTAGTTCAAGTATACAGCTTACTTAAATATGTTAATAAATGGATTTTACTCAGAAATTGTATTTGAAAAACTTTATTTACTGAAGTGTAAATGAATATCTTTAGCTACAAAAGATTTGGAAGCTTTTCCCATTGAACAAAACGAATGACTTAGCCCGGTGTAAACATTACTTGTTGTTTCATTCACAAAATATATTTAAAAGCGTCTCTACCTAGAATTTCATAACACTGTTTATAATTAATAGCACAAGTTTGGGCAACCTAAGATGGAATCGTAACGAAAACAGCCACGGAAACGTCGAAATGAATTCTTGGCTTCTATTACTTCTACTATGATGTATTCGTGTAGTATTTATTACTGAAAATAAAACTTCAGGAACTACTCCATTACGTGTCAAACTGACTAATTTAATTGTTTTTGGACCGACAATTTGTTACGTCACAAAGCTCGTGAGTAGCATTTGATTATAATTAGATATCTATTCATAGAGTAATCGCAAGAAAGTTTTTACGTTTTATTAACATCGATATCTTGAACTGATTTTAATAGACATTAAGTATTCTTAGTTCTTTGTTAGATACTTTAATTATTTTGATATCCCACTGGATAGGTTTTGAGGAAAAAAAATTTTTTAAGACGTATAATATAGCGCCAAAAATCGGCCATTCAATTTTTTAAAATTGAATGGTCGATTGAAATATTAATATATACCCAGTGTCACTCTCACAATTAAGATACCTCTCAAGCTAAAATCCATCAAGCCATTCAGGCTACAGAGCGTGCCAAAGAAATATACATACATAAATACCTACATTCTTACATACCTACACTCAAAAAACATAACCCTCCTTCCACCGCAGTCGGGTAAAAGAGTATAGCATTTCAGTTTCAAAGTTAAGTAATAGCTTTTAAATAATTTCCTTACACTAATTTTGTTTATTAATAATTCTGTTTGTAGAAATAATTTGTTTTCAAATATACTACCTCTCTACTCCCCACATTTTGCCGACAAAGGACTCTATCACGGTATCTTGTACATTTCTTTGACATTTAAATGGTAAAATGTTTTTATTTCTAATTTCAATGCTACTAACATGGTAATGAATATTCTTAATGAAACGTATAACGATTGGCTCCTTACAGCTCGACATATAAATAGCCTTTTCTACTTTAAATCTGCCGACGATCAAACATAATATTAGTCTATAAATCGTTTTATGTTAATAAGCTAAATCAAATGTTTTCTAGTAACTCGTTCTTTTATTTTTAAATTAGATTAGAGTTATAATGATCGTTTTAAAACTTATAATGGTTATGTTTTTAACATAATGCTGAAATGTAGATATACATATAACACATTTGAATAATTACAACTTATTGTCGTTTTGTTACGTCATACAAAAATGATTGGATTTTTACATCTACTTTGTCGACAAAACGCTAAACAAAACAAAGTCTCTTGCTCTCATGTGTTTATGTAACATTACACATGAGTAAAGCCAGGTCGATTTACTAGCAAAGAATATTTAAACAGCTACTCACAGTTCTAATACGACGCACATATATTTTCCCCAATCGTATGCATCGTAGAGCTGGATAAGCCTCGGGTGTCGAAGCCGTCTCATCACCTCTACTTCACGTTCCACATTCCTCCTCTCATCTCTTCTGTTAACGGAGACAAGTTTAGCTGCTAACTCCAATCCGGTGCTTTTTTCACGGCAAAGATATACTGTGCCGAATTTGCCTCTGTGAACATATTGATATATTAGTTACTAGCAGAACCCGCGGCTTCGCTCGCGCTAAATCTACAGAAAAAAAACTCTAAAAAGATAGGTTTCATACAAACTTTCATACCCTATTTTACCCCCTTATGGGATGAATTTAAAAAAATGCACACGTATTTATTTAATTGTATTTAAGAGCATTATGTAATATCAAGTTTCAAGTAATTTTGATGATAAATAATTGTTCCGGGTTGTATTATAACGTGGGAATGAGATACTGTCCCACGTAAAAAGTAGCCTATGTCACTCTCCAGCCCTCCGACTATCTCCACAAAAAAATTCACGCCAGTCCATCACTCTGTTTCGACGTGAAAGAGGGACAAACAAAGAACAAACACTCACATTTATAATATGAAGTATGTATTTGTACACTAAATGTAATACTGTCAGCTTTTAGATTCGGTCAACAAGGGGTGATGGAGAGAATGTTATTTTGTATAAGAAATCTTAATTAAGGCTTGTATAGTATTATGTGATCAGTGATTAAGGTTACATAGAGAAAATAAAACACAACAAACAACAACACACGTTTTATATATTATACCTACTTATAACACTACAAGAACCTTTTATAACATTTAATACTTAAAATAAGTTAATAATATTTAAATATGAATCACTACCGTTACTAAATTATCCAATCAATGACATAGTTAATACTTATATTTCAAATGTTATTCCGCTAAAGTGTCTAAATTCCTTTGTATTTTAATATTGCTATATATCGAAAACGCATATATTATAAAAGTATTAGTGTTCTAAGGTTATTTTAAACAAAAACAGGATTAAATCATATTTTACAAGAAAAAATCGCTTAGACTATAGGAATTTTCATTTTTAAAAGATGTCGGTAGAGCTATGAAGCGAAAGCAAGCTGCATTAGTCATAGCAGCCGTAAAGTGAGGGCGGGTCGTACAAACTTAATAAAAAGGAGACGAATGTTGGCAGCTAGGTTACGCTGAGATTGTTGTAGGTAACTAAGAGTATATACGTGACTCACCGGCCGATCTCCGATAGCATGTCGAAGAAGTCATTAACATCTGTGCTCCTTTTGATAGTGACATCTCTATACGGAAACGGCGGCTCTATCTCTGAAAAATGAAAGATTATATTAAATAATGCTATGTTAAAATGTAAGGCACTTGTTATTTTGATTGACTTCAAAAAGGAAGTGGTACTCGATTCGATTGTAGGGTTTATTATTATCATTTATTGTGCTAATGTGCTATAATTGCTTTATATTAAGACTAGTGACTCAGCCTCGCTTCGCATCGGGTTTGTCCCTAGACAAAAACAAATCTATCCCACGGGACATTTTTCCGGGATAATATATAGTCTATAACAATCATATTTTAGGATATATATCAATATATCCTCAATAAACGGGCTATCTAATGTAAAAAGAATGTTTCAAATCGGATTAGTAGTTACTGAGATTAGCGCGTTCAAACAAACAAACAAACAAACAAATAAACAAACTCTGCCTCTTTATAATATTAGTATAGACTAATTATGTTTGCTCCTAATCATAATCGGTAGAAGCGAAAGTTTATATAAATCTCACAAGGTTATTTACCAGAGTAAATTATGCATGAAAACCTAAGGCATTAAAAGACTTGGTCATACAAAAAAAAATCCTTGCACTAATATAACATTTTACAGGCTTACGTCACCTATAGTCGTACGTATGTATAAAAAAAGCTATCATGAAGATAATTAATAATTATCTGCTGTTCCAGAGCTTAATTTTTCAAAAGACGTAAAAAAAACAGTGTCGACCAAACAGCATAAGGGCGTTTCAATACTGAAAGTGATATATTTTAATAAGTAAATTTTGCAAGATTGAACAATAAAATAAGATAGAATTATAAGTCCTATATTTTTATATAATATAATTTTAGTGCTTAATACTCATGTATATTGATACTAGCGATGCATCCTCGCTTCGCTCGAGTTCTTCCCTAGGTATAGACAGACGGTCTTAACGACAGTATTGTAGATAGACTATATATTAGTATAAATATATATACATAGGTATGATGAGTTTTTTATCTCTTACTTGAGAAATGATTGATTACCCATACAAACTTCCATCCTTTTTTTTTACTCTCTTAAGAGATGATTTCCGGGATAAAAACTATCCTATGACATCCTCAGGATCTCAAACTATCTTCATACCAAATTTCATCTCAATGGGTTTTTGGTTTATTCCATTCAATTTAGTACATTACAAACAATTTTTTTCAACAACAATTTAATCAAGTTGCTAAATCATAGGTTCACTAAACTGAGATCTGAAAACCTTGTTATTTTTGTGTTACAATTTAAATACGGATCTTCTCATCAGATAAACTTTCGGGATATATAAAACTCTTCATTTTTTCGGAGAGGAAGTTAGATAAGATCCGAGCTTCCTCAGTGATAAAATTGTACAAATACGTGCAGAGACACCGAAGATGAAAGCTAAGATGCACGATAAGCTGACAACATCCGACCACTTTTTGCCGCAATTGACATTTAAAAGTTAATTAAGATATTAAAAGCACTTGAACTAGACAATCGGGTTTTAGAAAGTGATATTTGGAAGTGTTTTCACTTGGTGACAGTAGAGGTTATTATGGTGTTTGCTCAAAAATTTGTAAAATTGTTGTTGCTAATGCAATAACCAAACATTTTGGTGATTAGTCTGTCCGGCGCCTGCGCAGCCGTAAACGGACCTGCTTTGATTTGATGTTTATGATTGCCAAAATTATTGCACTATTATTCAACTTTAGATTGTGTGTTATATCATAATATTTACGTTATTTTACGCTTGAACATTGTAAGATGTTTTTCCAAATATTTACGCTCATTGCTTTATTATTTTGATACAATGTAAATAGATATTGCACAGCGTTTCCTACCCTATAAAATTATATTCTTACCCTAATATTATAAGCACTTACGAGATGGGTTTTTACAGATTTTTCCTTTTTTTGGATCGACGTGTTCTTTTCAAAGAGATATGATTAGTTAATTTGTATAGTCTTTCGGAGTCTGATATTTTACTTTTTATTCATATTATAATTATAAATATGAAAGTTTAGGTGTTTGGATGTTTGTTACTCAATCAAACCAGAACGGCTGAACGGATCTTGATGAAATTTGGTACAGAGATAGATTATAGTCTGGAATAGCACTTGGGCTACTTTACTTACTTTATCTTATATCCTTTATCCCGTAAAAATGTACGGTTCCCGTGGAATAGATTTGTTTTTGTTTTTCTAGAGGTAAACCCAAGCGAAGCGAGGGTGAGCCGCTATTAGACCATTCTCTTAGGTCCATCAGTTAAATTTCGTGGACTATCAGTATATTACAAGAAATTTACAGAAGGCAGACTGAAAGATTTAATAATTTAACTTTTAAACGTGTTATCAAATGCAGTTGTTATAGTTTCTTCTAGTACTTAGCTGTGATATCTATATTATACTAATATATAAAGTTAAACTGTTTGTATGAACTCGTTAATCTCTACATCTACCGTTTGGACTTGGAAGGCGATAGGCTATCCTTTATCACAGTACGACCTACCTACGAGAGCAGTGTTATTACACAAAATAAAACGACGCGGAGCCAGGAGAAATCGCTAGTAAATAATATAGCTGTTCATTAGTCATCGTTATAAGATCGGTCCATCGAAATGTTAAGAGTCGAATGTTATTTAGGATTCATGATGCATATTCTATGCACATGCAAGCATTGTTCGTTTTTAAATAGATGTCATTGTTCCACTACTATGATATTATAATATTGTTTTAGTTTCAGTCAACTTTGAAGTTTGACTCTTGCCAATTTTTGCTATTGGTCTCCTTAATGAATACGTTTTTAAGGCTATGTGAACTTGGCACCCGACTTTGGAAAAATTGTTCTTTTTTAGGTTTATTTGAACGATTTCGGTTAGTAGTAGATAGTAGTGAAGCTAATTTCGTTTGTAGTAGTGCCAAAAAAAAAATACAGACAACAAAAAAAATGTCATCCCCCGAAGTTGGTAAAAAAAATTTTTCCGCTTGATTCGTATAGAAAAACGTTAGTAGTGGTTTGTAGTGCAATTTTTTTCGTTTGTAGTAAAACAAAAAAAATATTTTTTTTTCGAGTATTTTTGCAGAACGATTTTTACTACATACATTCATTGTTTCGTTTGTAGTACCATTATTTTATTTGTAGTAACGTTAATTTTGGTTTGTAGTACCATTACTTCGTTTGAAGTAACGTTAATTTCGTTTGTAGTACCATTACTTCGTTTGTAGTACCATTATTTCGTTTGTAGTTGTTTGTAGTAACATTAATTTCGTTTGTAGTACCATTATTTCGTTTGTAGTTGTTTGTAGTAACGTTAATTTCGTTTGTAGTACCATTATTTCGTTTGTAGTTGTTTGTAGTAACGTTAATTTCGTTTGTAGTACCATTATTTCGTTTGTAGTAACGTTAATTTCGTTTGTAGTACCATTGTTACGTTTGTAGTACCATTGTTTCGTTTGTAGTGCCATTATTTCGTTTGTAGTACCATTATTTCGTTTGTAGTACCATCATTTCGATTGTAGCTGTTTGTAGTAACGTTAATTTTGTTTGTAGTACCATTGTTTCGTTTATAGTAACGTTAATTTCGTTTGTAGTAACGTTAATTTCGTTTGTAGTTGTTTGTAGTAACGTTAATTTCGTTTGTAGTACCATTATTTCGTTTGTAGATGTTTGTAGTAACGTTAATTTCGTTTGTAGTACCATTGTTACGTTTGTAGTATCATTGTTTCGTTTGTAGTACCATTATTTCGTTTGTAGTATCATTATTTCGTTTGTAGTACCATCATTTCGATTGTAGCTGTTTGTAGTAACGTTAATTTTGTTTGTAGTACCATTGTTTCGTTGGTGGTACCATGGTGCTACAAACGAAATAATGGTACTACAAACGAAATTAACGTTACTACAAACGAAACAAAGGTACTACAAACAAAATTAACGTTACTACAAACAACTACAAACGAAATAATGGTACTACAAACGAAATCAAGGTTACTCCAAACAACTACAAACGAAATAATGGTACTACAAACGAAATTAACGTTACTACAAACGAAACAATGGTACTACAAACAAAATTAACGTTACTACAAACAACTACAAACGAAATAATCTTACTACAAACGAAATTAACGTTACTACAAACAGCTACAATCGAAATGATGGTACTACAAACGAAACAATGGTACTACAAACGTAACAATGGTACTACAAACGAAATTAACGTTACTACAAACGAAACAAAGGTACTACAAACAAAATTAACGTTACTACAAACAACTACAAACGAAATAATGGTACTACAAACGAAATTAACGTTACTATAAACGAAATAATGGTACTACAAACAAAATTAACGTTACTACAAACAACTACAAACGAAATAATGGTACTACAAACGAAATTAACGTTACTACAAACAACTACAAACAAAATAATGGTACTACAAACGAAATTAACGTTACTACAAACGAAACAATGGGACTACAAACAAAATTAACGTTACTACAAACAACTACAAACGAAATAATCTTACTACAAACGAAATTAACGTTACTACAAACAGCTACAATCGAAATGATGGTACTACAAACGAAACAATGGTACTACAAACGTAACAATGGTACTACAAACGAAATTAACGTTACTACAAACGAAACAATGGTACTACAAACTTTCGTTTGTAGTACCATTATTTCGTTTGTAGTACCATCATTTCGATTGTAGCTGTTTGTAGTAACGTTAATTTCGTTTGTAGTACCATTATTTCATTTGTAGTTGGTTGTAGTAACGTTAATTTTGTTTGTAAAAATTAACGTTACGAAACGTTTGGCTCAGCTTGTAGTGACCCTACTTGATGTATCAGCGGTCGCGGGTTCGAGTCCCGCTGGGGGCATTCATTTGATAAGCACGAATGTTTGTACTCTAGTCATGGGTGTTTATATTTATAATATGTATGTATTTAAGAGTTATATGTGTGTAGTGTATCAACTATCTGGTATCCATAACACAAGTCTCGTAGCTTACCATGGAACTAGATTGTGCTGTGTGTTAATGTCCTAACATATTTTTTTATTTATTTATTTTCTCACTTTGCGACCTCGGATCCTAGACCCACCTCTTGGACTATATACCAGACTGTTACTTGCTTGCTCCATTTTTCGTGCTTGCAACGGAGCATATGCCCTGACCATCTCCATTTTAGTCGGTTAATACGTGTTCTGATGTCTATTAGTTTTGTTTTGCGCCTGATGTCTACATTCCATACATCTATCAAAATCCATACATCTAGTCTTACTTATATAAGTATCTTGAAAAAAATATCTTTTTTAAATTTACAAACTTAAAGCTTTGTTATCGGAAGTAAATTTTATTGTAATCATTAATATTTGATTTTCCTGGTCACATATATGTATGTATTATTACTATACATATACTTATCTTTTTGGTTATAAGGAAATAATTAATATGTAATCCAATTATTTTAATCAAAAAAACAGTGAATACGTAAGTGCAATATTATTTTAGCCTTCATTTGAATTTTCGTTATGAATATTTTAAGTCTTTTAAAACACTTGTGTAAATGAGAGGATCATTAAATTTAAAGGTTCCTCTATATTAATTGTTCATTTAATCATAATTAATTACATACATATTTTAAATTCCTATTATCACTTATAGAATATATATTGGTGATATTATTGTCATATTTTAATATTCCTTTTAGTCTGATGTAAATTATTTTAACAATGCATTGTACTAACGAATTATAATTTATTGTTAGCTAGCTTATAAAGTTATTAAAACTATTACAAATAGAGACTAATTTATTCTAATATTATAAAGAGGAAAAATTTGTTTTTTTGTTTGTTTGTATCGAGTAGGCTCCGAAACTACTGAACCGATTTAGATGAAATTTGGTAAGAAGATAGTTTTTATCCCGGAAATCATCCCTTAAGGCGGTGAAAATGGGGATGAAAGTTTGTATGGGAAAGCAACCTAGGGACGAACCCGAGTAAAGCGAGGGTGAGTCGCTACTCGCTAGTATATTATATATACGAGTATTAATATGCTGTTGTGCTATTATAGTACCTAATATACTGAAAAATTATTTTAGGTAGCAATGACGGGTTGCACCTTAAAAATATCCGAACTCCAACTTCTAAGTCACGTGAAATTATTTCATTTTTTTTTTAATTTGTAACAGACACTATATTTGAGTAATCTATAATCTCCATATGATTAAAGTAAATTACTTATAAATACGTTTTTTATAATAGAAAGGATTTTAAATATGGTCTAACCGCTAAGTCTATGTTATTCGTCGCCTGTCCTCACGTGTGTAGCTTGTTTTGTAACCTAGAAATGCCACGTAACGCGTCACCGTAGATCTGTTTGTCGTAAGATGAATGGCTGTACCCTATACATAATTATAACACGTAGGAATGGCGGATGTGACGTAACACCATCATTATTGAAAATAAATGATTCTTTTAGAAGAGCCGATGTTGGAAAACTTCCAAAAACTACTCTTATTCACTTATATTTACTATACGTCAAAAAAAGGTTCTTGGCGCGATATTATCACGTTTTGTTATACTAATTCACCAAGCTCTTATTTTTGTATGAAAAAATCTATATATATACATTTATACATAAATAAAATTGTAACTAAGCCGAATCTGTACATTAAATATTTTTTGGAAAATCTTATTAATATACATTATTATCGATACAGTGGCTGAATCTATAGTTTATAGAATTTTTGTCTATCTGTCTGTCTGTGACCGCATCATGGAAAAAACACTGAAGGGATTTTGATAAAATTTGGTATGACGATGGTTATCCGGGTGGATAACCAGCTACCGTCATACCAAATTTTAACATATAGGATACTTTTTATTGTGGGAAAATATCTCATCTCTGCGAAATCTATATTATTCGTAAAAACTTAAGAAGTATATTATAAAAGTATATTAATAAGTATAAGTATAATAATAAATTTTTAACTTTAAGGACGAGCTTAATGATTATCTTAGGATAATAAAACCACCATTCCTTTTATTTAATTATTTAAAAAAATGATATAAATTAAAATTGATATTTTCTTAATGTCGTTAACCAATATCCAGGTACTATATTAATGTGACAGAGTGTAAAAGTAGCAAGTTGTAATTACCTACATATAATTAAAAGTGCTATTAGCAAGGTTAATTTTGTTATTAAGCTTTAAGTAGGTACTTTAATACTGTAACTTTTGTGGGTAGTTTAATAAATCAATCCATACTAATATATAAATGCGAAAGTAATTCTGTCTGATTGTTACCTTTCACGCTTAATCCGCTAACCGATTTAGACGAAATTTGGCATGGAGTTAGTTTGAGCCCCTTGGAAGGACATAGTTTAGTTTTTACCCCGGGAATCATTCCTTAAGGGGGTGAATCTTTGTATGGAGAACCAATCATTTCTCAAGTAAGGGATATAAAACTCATTATACCTATATAGACTATATAGTCTATGTATTCCATACTAACCGTCATAAGATATCTAAGTAAATAAATAAATAAATTGTATACATATAGTTTCTAAACTTTCGCAATTATGTAAACTATACACATGACGTATTAGCAATATACCTACTCTTTAGATAGTGGTTATATTATGTAATTATAATAATCATTAACATTCTTTATCTTAATAGTTATTTTAATAATCAAGAGAGTTATTAGTTTTTTCAATATAAATGGTACAAGACATTAGTTATTTTCGTTGGTGTCGTAAGTTCTACTATACTCGTAACTTACGTTTATATGTTAATGTATGTTTTTGTAAAATATGGAAATTATAGGAAGGAACCGATTAATATGATTTTTTAAGTCTCGAGTATTACGTACACAACTAAATCAATCTAAAATTCTAAACATAAACTGGTAACAAACATAATTGAAATAAAATAATCATGGCTTTCGAATGAAATCTACTGTTGTCTTAATTTAAAAATTGTTTTTTTCACTTTATGTGATACTAGCGACTTACCCTCGCTTCGCTCTGGTTCGTTCTTAATTTTGTTTGAGCAGAACCCTAATTCTTTTTCTAAAATCAAAGTAGCCTAAGTTACTTCTTATAACATCAGCTATCTGCCAGTGAAAGTCCCGTCAAAATCGGTCCAGCCGTTTCGGAGATAAGCAGACAGACAAAAATTTTAAAATTATGTTTTTTTATAAGTACCATATGTAACTTCATATGCATTTAGCAAATTTTGACATTAAAATTTTGACATTAAAAACAGACACTTCAATTTCATTTATCTTGTATAGATTAGTGAAGTAAATATCCTAGATCTAGCACGCTCAAAAGCCATAAACAAACACATTTTAATTGTAACGTAGAACACTTATATTAAAACTAGCTATTTAAATTAAACTCGATTTTTTAAATAATACTATTTTAAGTTTGTTATAGTAGCATGTCTTGCCACGTTCTTTATAAAATAGTTAATCTTTTAGGGGATTGCAGACAAATGGTTTAGGAGACACTTGTCACAGTAATGACTCGTCTGAACGATCTGAAGCGTTCATCTGCCGAGTCTAAAATAAAGATAAATTCCGATCTTCTGCCAAAAATCGAATGTTTTTGTTTATTTTATTCGAGCCAATTGCTTTAAAACCTGATTACTATTTTCCCTTTTTGATTTAATAAGTTTTTTATTTAGTAAATTTAATTAATGTGATACTAATAATTTAATTAATGGTATAGGTGTACTTTACATAAGATGTAGGCAAGGTAAGAGACTAATTAAGGAGAAGATCTATGAAAATATTAATTTATTATTAAATAATTATAACTTACCACCAACAGGATCTGTCTCGTCGACGTGGATCATATCGAATGATCTGTAAAAAAAAATTAAGATTATTTAAATATCTTTTCTAATAATTACTAAATAAATTATAGGTAAAATTACATAATATTATTTTTTCTTATTGCTGATTTTCAGATTGACAGGTTGTAGAGGCTTATTTTGATTCTAGCACATCGCCAATTTCAAGACTTTGTAAGGCTGTACTGGCACCTTTTGAAGCCATTGACAAAAAAAAATGGGTGCATGTAACCTTTACGCGCAGTTGAAGTAAAACTTCTTTGGCAAATATCGCAATTGATTTAAGACAATTTAATAATTAAATAAGGCATATTAGGCATATTACAATCATATATTTATAGAATATCATATACGGAAAGAATATAATATTATTTATTTTTCAGACAATAACAACGGTTACCATGGCAACGTGGCAATGTATTCTGTCTCATTCTCTCGCCAGTTTAATCTTATGTATTTATATGATTATCTCTTTTTAGTGTCACATTTTCGTTTCATCGAGTTTGAAATCACAACGATTCTAAAGAAGTTTCACTTCAAAAATGAATAGAAGGCTAAGCTACAACTTGTTTTAGCCAGACTAATATATGATTAATGAAAAATGTATCCTGTACGGATTTATCCAGTGACTTGAAGCAAAGCCAGTCAAATATATTATAGTATCTACATTCTTAGCGTCGCGTCGTTTTATGAAATATACGGGTAGTTAATAAATAGTACAAATATATTATTTACTGTAACGAGCACTGATTAATTTTATGAATGGTATTTATAATACGGATATGCGCCAATGAATATTGGAAACTTGAAAACATGTCGTGAGTCATCGCTTACGAAAATAATCTTCCTAATACCATGTAATATTCCGTCGATGTCACGTTCAATTAGTAGATAATTATTTATTGTGTATAAATAAATAAATCAAATGTTGAGACATTAACACAGTACCATCTAGTTCCGTGGTTAGCTACGAGATTTGTGTTATGGATACCAGATAGTTGATACACTACACATATATAACTTTAAATACATACATATCTATATATGTACATATAAAACAAAGTCGGGTTTGTTACAACACTTATAACTCGAGAACTGCTGGACCGATTTTTATGATCTTTGTTTTGTTGTCATTGACATTTGACTTCACCTCGAATAGCAGTATAACTAATTAAATATCGGAAAAAGTCACAAAAAAAAGAAAAAAAAAAACTATTCCACACTAAGCGTCAAAACGTACCTAGGGACGAACCTGAGCGAAACGAGGGTGAGACGTTAGTTATAAATAAAAAAACGTGTGTGTACCTACTTATACATATATACACGCACGTAAGAAGTTATACTTCTTTGGCATATCAGAACAAAAATAGCTTAAGATTTCGTCCCGTATGTCACAACTCTCTGTTTGTAAACGGAATGATAAATTAATAAAAATAAAGGCATATTACAATCATATATTTATAGAATATCATTTAAGGAAAGAATATGAAATACGGGACTCGAATCCGCGACCGCTGGCACAGCAAGTGGGCAATACAAACTTAGCCAAACGTGTATAAGCAATAATTTTACAGTTTATTATTATTTCTTAAATTTGTTCATGAAACACCTAATATAGGATTTTTAAAGTAAAAATTTGAGTATTAAGAGAATTTAGAAGTTTAAAGAATTCGTAATCATGTTTTTGAAGGTTCGGTCCGATGGTTCAAAGTTCGATTTTTTTTATTATTGAAGAATTAAAAAAAAATGCTCGGCAGTCGAATTTATTAAATCTGACTTAAATATTAACTAATTTACAAATTTTACGATTAGTTTTCATAAAGTAAAAAAGCCAATGGTACAGCTTCGTGACCACCATTTTAATTATTCCCGATAAAATAAATCAAAGTATTTTATTATTTACATTCTTATTTTAACGAAGACAGACGATAGAAGGAATGAAAATTATAATAGTTTTGTTCAATTTCAAGGACATGCTTTGTTTATACATGTTGCAGGTTTCCAAGTTTATATATAAATTAGCTCGCAAGTGGGTCAGCTATTCGGGTGCGACACATTGATATTACCGCGGCGACTAACGAATGCAAATATTCATTGTGGAATTGACAAGCTTTTGTTTTCTATTGTTTAAATATTCTGAAATTTTCATAATTTATCAATTTTTTTGTACAAGTTATGGCAGTAAGAATCATTATTTTATCATACTGATTGCTTCTTTCTATATGTGAAATCTATTCCACGGGAACCGTACGTGTTTCCGGGATAAAAAGTAACCTGTGTGTTATTCCAAACTATAATCTATCTCTGTGCCAAATTTCATCCAGATCTGCTCAGCCGTTCTGGCGTAAACAAGTAACAAACATCCATACAAACTCACAAACTTTCACATTTATAATATTAGAGACTAGCTAAATCGACATTGTGCTGTTCAAACAATTTTGTTAGTTAATCTTTTAGTTCATCGAAAGATTCTATAGAAAAATATTACTTTCAGTTTTCTCAAATTTGCTAATTTCGGGAAAACTTTTCCCTAAAAGCCTTATTTTGTAATTATTATGAACGTGTTAAAGGAACGTGTCAAAATAATTACAAAAAAAAGGCTTTTAGGGAAAAGGTCGATTAGTTATAGTTTCAGCCATTTTCAAGTGTTGCGCTTATCAATGAATAGAATTTTCATATATGATATTGATTACGACAAACTTATTAATTATTATAATAATAATTTACCCAGTTCAGTAATAGAGCAGGCGACCTTTTGATGAAGGCATGTTGTTATTGTGCCAGAAGTCGTCGAAATAAACTATAATTAAGTATAGAAATATTTGCAAATATATTAAATGGTGATAGTGAATGATGTTTGAAACAAGTTCCGGCAGTTTACGATCCGTAAACTGTAAAACGGGACAAGGTTACACCATTACTGTATCTAATAATTTTGAATCAATTCTAAATCAAACTAGTAAAGTGCTAAGTAGGTCACCTAGAAAATTGTAGGTCAGTTTAAATTTAAAAAATTTGATTTATTTTTGTTTTTTATAATTGTTAAAAATTATATATATATATATATATATATATATATATATATATATATATATATATATATGAAAGTAAAGATAAAATTTAAAAGATTATTACCTTTTCGAATACCTCGTGTATTTTACAGTAGTTTAGAGTAGTTTCAAAAATAGAAGCATCGAAACTAAATTTTGAATTATATATTGTTTAATCTATGCACTATAATTTCAGTGAACATATTATGTAACTGTATTGACTGTCTATGTCTGATGAAACAATTAATAAAAAAAAAGAAATTTTCAGTGTAAATAAACCTCTATAGAGCTGTGCTAGAAACACTTTTCGCAAGGTGTAGAATTAAGCTCACTTGTAACATTTAAAAGCCCTTTCTAATAAATTGAAATATTAGCAAATAGTTCAATGTTATTAAGTAAACATGTTTGAAACTTCTCCCAGTAATATTATTTCTCCATTTGTTGTGCTTTCCGATAGCCATCTTGCTATCTAAAAAAACTATAGTGGAATCTAGTACTAAATTAATAACAATTTCATATAAATTTTATAGTTCATAAATAACACCGTTTTTAGTAAAAAAAATTAAAAATAAAATCTATGTGTTATCTTAGAAAAAACATATATATACTTATTACTTAGTTTTACTAAAAAACTATTAACATAGTCTGGCTTAACTTGGATGAGTCCTTAGGTGATGTTCTTTATTCTTATATATATATATATATATATGTTACTTTAGGCTAGTATAGTATTATGTAATCTGTGCTTCAGGTTATAGTCTATCTATAGGTATGCTAAATTTTAATTCAAATCATTCCGCCGTTGCAGTGGATAGGCTAACAAACATACACACGCAGGCACAATCTTTTGCATATATAATGTGCGTAACATTAAATTCCTTAACCTTAATGACACTAAACCCTCTGGCTAAAAATTTAATAATTACAGCGTACCAGGTGTAGAACTGACACTTTTTATTTAATTATTTTTTTTGCTAAGTGTTTTAATTTTGTAAGTGTCTCAGGGTATGGAAGTTTCTTAGTAAACAATGTGACCGGTTAAACTATTTTAAAAGGGTAACAAGTTTTATATCCAGTTAATTGACTATTTGCAACGGTCTCTCGTCACATCCAAGGCCGCCCTTTTGAAGTATAAATAACATTTATATTGTTTTTAAATAAAACTATCTTTTCGGATTATTTCGCGGATTTATTTTGATTTTTGGTTCCCGACGTTTCGAATGCTTTACAGCATCCATGGTCACGGGAGAGACCTCCCGTGACCATGGATGCTGTAAAGCATTCGAAACGTCGGGAACCAAAAATCAAAATAAATCCGCGAAATAATCCGAAAAGATAGTTTTATTTAAAAATGTCAAACATTCGCGTAAATCTAAGAAAGTATTATTATTTATAATGTTGTTTTTGTTTTACGATATTTTTTTTATATATTAAATTAATAATGTAGCTGAGAACATTGAAAAGTACTAAAGCAAGTTATATGTCCATAATTTACGAGTGTACAAGATTATAAAATCAGAAGGTCTGCTTAAAAAGTCGGTAAGTTGGTTCGATACTGTCATAACACACAACGAACAAAGATAACTTTTAAATATCAAGATGTTTGCGTCGTAAAATACTTTACAACAAATGGCAATCTAAAGGCTGTATCCGTCAATAGTATGCACAAAGACAGTAAAAAACTGAGCTGAGTCTAGTCTTATAAAAATATTTCAAATATAAAAATAACAGTGAAGTATGTATGTACATTTATATGAAATACTAGCATTGCCCGCGGCTCCGCCGTTTAGATGACCAAAAACCAAATTCTTAGGTTTTACATACATATAAGTATACTCTTACAATGCAGTTTTTGTATTTTTTATGTTGACTCGGATAACCAGCTATCATCATACCAAATTTCATCAAAATTGATCCAGTGGTTTTCTCGTGATGCGGTAACAGACAGACAGACAAAAATTCT